GTGGGGGCTGCGTTCATTGAACGCCGCCTTTCCTTGATGATCTTGTTTATCATATTTTAAGACTTATCAAAGAATGTATGTTTTGATTTGATGTCCTGTCTTACGGTCTTTTGTTATATAACATATAAATTTATTTTGTCATTCGATATGGCTCTAGGTTAGTTGCAGGTTAAAAATACACCGTGAAACAATTTCCATAGACAACGGATATTAAAATTATATTTCATATTGTCATTATTGAAACCATAAATATAAAACAAAACTATATTTTACATTTTAACTCGCTTCATAATATTTCCCAATCAAAAAGATTAGGCAGGCAAGTGCATAAATACATGATATATGGACAGCATAAAAAGAAATTCTTATACGCAATATGACGTAAATAAACCAAATGACCTCATGATAATTACTTCTATGCTCAATGTAATTCAACGCATTTTTATCAACTCCCTTTATTAGCATTTTAAATTTGAAATAGATACTATAAGTTCTTGCATTTAAGTATAATAATGCACCATTTAACGTTCCAATGTTTTTAATTAATCGCTGGGACCCATCGGCATTCTTTATTATACCATATGCATAAGAGCTCGAAACGTGCAATAATTGTGCAAATACAACAATGCACTCACAACTGATATTTACTTACTACTCATTTACAAAATATTTTAATTGTTCTAGATTGTAAAGTTGTTACAAAACACGCGCACGCGCACACGCACACGCACGCACCAACACACAGACACACACACACACACACAGACACATAATGCTCAAATGAAGATTCATCAATATTGGATGTTCCAAAAAGCATTGTTTGTAAAGGTATTACCGAATTTACATTTCATGTTTAACTTAATAAAAGATCATTACAAATTTATTTTCTTTAAAGTCTAAGTCAAATTTTTCAATAACAAAGCATATAGTTAAATGATTACATATAACGGAGAAAATATTTACAGTACATATTTTACATATTCTTCGATATTTGAAAAATGTTTTAGAAGAATAATTATATAAATTTATAAAATTTTACCTAAGTGTGGTAACAACCTTAATTAAAACATCCAGGATCTTCAATGGTGCTGAAATACTTTAGATATATTAAGTATAGGAGAAACCACTTTTTATATTTATTAGACAAAGCTCAGTTCTTATAAAAATAAATTATAAAACACATATTATAGAAAGATATTGACAAATAATATCAATAAGATGTATAAAGTTTCAAATATAACATAAAAAATTATCAAACAGTAGGTTCTTAGAGAAACTTGTTTGTTAGACATAACGAACCATCAGTAAGATACATGCACTTTTCCCTAAGATTGTGCCAACTTTAGTGATACTATTGTCTTTCATATTCTATCAAACAGATAGCTTTACGTTATCTATCTTGTACATCAAATGTCAAAATGATAGCAACATGTCTATATAAACGTTGATTGTAAATATATAAAAACAAATAAAATTAATCAAATTGGACGGTTATGGTGCTAAAAATATATATAGTGAAATATAAAATATAATACCATGCACTTTTTTCTATATGCTGTTATCATTTATTTATTACAAAGACGTAGAAATAACTACAAGCGTTTAGTAAATAAAGTAGAATAAAGTGCGTGTCATTCGATAATAAGCAGTGTATGGTGCACAGAGAAAAATAGCGCAGTGATCTACTTCGTTTCAAAGAACATTGCAAAACTTGTGATAACCACTTAAGAGCTAATTTGCTTTCTATTCAATAATAAGAATTACATGCTTAAGACATTTACATCGACAATCCCAGGAAGGAATGTTTAAATGGCGGTTAACGATTGAAAGTAAATTATTAAATGCTTTCATACTCGGCTTAATGATGTGCAAGACACTTTTAACAAAATAAATGATTCCTCTGAGAATAAGTTATGTCTACTCTTTATTTGTTATTATCGTTAATCTTATGTTATTGATCAGCTATATTCTACTTAAGACTTGCAATCATAACATTATTCAATTTCATCATTATTCTATTATATATCACAAAAACGTAAATTGTATAAATTTATTAAAACATTTAAAGCAAAATATCATTAGCTGAGGCTTATCAAAATACATGATTGGAAACAAAATATAAAATAAAAAAGCACGAATAAATGTCAATAAATACTGAAGATCCAAATACTAAACATGTAAACAACCATTTAACAATCCATTTTAAATAAATTGTTAAATAGCTTGAATAATATGTGTCAAATTGTTAAATATATTTATTTATGAATTATCCATTAACAACGATACAGAAAGAATGAAATTTCAAAGTACCTTAAACATTGAATGTTAAAATTTCAGTCATATTTTAATGAAGGATGTTCCGCACCATAGCCATCTTGTTCATTTTGCCAGAATGTACAAAATATTTCAATGCATTATTCAGACTATCTTAACCTGAATTATCAATCTAATGCAAATATTTTCCGCGAATAAATGTACACCCCATTCAATTTTTTGGCGTAGCTATATTAAAATAGTTTTTGGCCTATACTAGGGGTGTTCCAAAATCAATGTTACTCGGGTTCTATCTCGTGGAAATCGTGCTATATGAACTCAGATCTAATACAAGTCGATAGCGTGATACCTGGAGGGTCGTATATGACTATTTGTAGGTGGGTTGGTTGATTGAAGTCGGGACACCAGCAGCTGAAAGATGCTGCTCACACAGGCCGCCCTGCAATAACAACGACAAAACATAACATTAAAAGAGTTCGACAAATCCTGAGGAAAGACGCAATTACACTGTCAGGCAGTTAGCTAGAATGACATACTTAGCATGTGTTCATTACATTTTTAAGAAACAACATCTTGGGCTTAGTAAGATTAATGTTAGGTGGATACCACATTTACTATCTGACGACCAAAAGACCTTCAGAGTTGAATGGCCAAACTTTTGTTGAAAAAATACCCGAAATACAGCAAAAAGGCCTTCGTTAATTTAGTCCCATGTGACGAAACATGAGTGAAGTTTTACGAAAATGCGAAAATGCCCCTATCAAATCCGGGCCACCAAAAACGCAAGGCGCCCTAGCATTGCTAAAAGACTACGAACTGTGAGAAAGGTTTTGTATGTAATATTCTTTGATAACAAGGGCCCAGTCGTGCAAATTCCTGTGCCGAAAGGTAAAACTGACACAGACAAATACAATAGAGACTTGTATTATGCTAACTTTAGAAACACTATAAACGCCGCCGCCCACAAACCGGTTTGAAGTACCTCAGACTCTTGCACGACAATGCGCCAGCTCATAAGGCACGAATTGTAACGGAGTACGTCTATTTGAAGGGGAAACGGTCACTGTCCTCCCCCTCACAAGACCTATCCCTGTGACTATTTCTTGTTCCCCAAACTAAAATTTCATCTGTCTGGAAAAAACTACAAATCAAGAAATGCTCTGGGCTGTGCCAATTACCAGTATCTTAAGAGTATACCCATTAAAGAGGAAAAGTGTTTCAAAAAGTGGATTGATCGGCTGAAAACGTACATTATGGTAGAGGGGGGGGGGGGGTGTTCTTTGAGGGCAGGGCAAGTCAAAATGATCTAAACGACTTATATCAAAGAGAAAACACAAAAGTTACATCGATTTTGAAACACCCCTCGTATTTGTAAGCAACTGGTAAGCTATAAAACCTTCAGCAATTAACTTTAAGAATGTTTACCATTGGTTTTAAGGGCGGCAGTTACGTAAGCTTAGGACAAGCTTTGTGAATTTTAGTTCAAGCGTCTCTAAGAATAAAATTCACAAAAATAAACAATTTTAAATTATTCCAAAGCAGCAGATAAAATTTAAAGGGCAATGATATACCATATACTGTCTTTGGATGGGCATTATGTCACTTTAAATATATTATGTATGCAAAATATTTCTTCTATTCCTCTTTAGATTAAACAAAATTATACCGATGTTTGATTGAACGGAAGAAGAAATATGTGGCATGTCATATTCAACATGAGTTTCAATGATTCTTATCCGAATCGTTGTTAAAATTCTATTGGGAGATCTGAAGTCGTATGCCAAACTTTACTGCAGACTTAGGGATAATCACCATAATGTCATGTCGAAATGATCTTACACATTCTGCTCTTAAAACGCTTTCACAAGATCTTTCTTTCTTTACGTGAACATCTCGCAAATTCCAATAATTACGGTCGTCTCTTACATCGCCTTTATATTCTCAGAATGCCCCGAAAACACTTATTTTGATGTCTGTTTGTAATCACAAATGAAAACTAAATATATATAAGATGTTTTCTTATATTTTCAAATACTAATACACTGTATATTTTTGTCACTTGAATTATAACACGGTTCACAGGATCTTGTTCTTTTGCTTTACGTGAAGCGATCTCGTGAAATTCCAATAATACGGTCGTCTTCTTTACATCGAAAACAAAACGCTCATAACAATAGAGCAAACTGTAGTTGAGTGGAAAACGCAACGGAAAACGGATTGTAAATTAACAGTCTAGCTTAAACGAAATCACTGACGCAAACAACATTAGTGCAGTTTATGATAGAAAACACTGCGATATTTCTAAATGAAGACATGTGTCGAGCCAGGCAGTTGACTAGTTTGATACTAGATTATAAATGTTGAATTCAGTTGTGTATTTTAGTTGCTAGAAATATTGTCAATATATAAGCATATAATATGACTTTTCGCAAATAGGAATTTTTAATCAAGCTTTGAAATGCCACTCAGCATTGGATTATATATTTTAAAAGAAGTTACACAACATGAACACAAAACAATATGTAAGCTTTGTATTGCGATGCGGAGTCAATGCGAACTGAATTGATGCAACTGTGAAAATAGAAGCCATCCCATTTATTAGTATTCTATCTTTTAAAATACCTGAATTGAACCCTTTTATCAAAGTTTATTGTTTTTTTTTAATTTAAGTGCAATAGATTTAATATTTGTAATGTCTTTAGAATATTCGTGAAATGGGATGATAAAATGTGGAGGCGGAAACTTTCAAAGGTTGGACATAAATGCGACAGATTAGATTGTCCACCGACTTTGTCCGACACCCAGAAAGCTGCTATCCGGAATAATTGGCGGATTTTGAAATGCAATGTGGCTAACATTGGCGTAATTACTTATGTCAGGTCTGTTAAATGTGTTATTTAAAAATATTGAATAATAATATCGAATTATTTAGTAAGTGCGTATTATTAAGTCAATGTTATTACAATTGTTGAAATTCAATTTGTTTTGCAACTCTGCTAATTATTATGAATTGTTTTTAAAACCTAAATGCATATTGTAAATGGCAGTTCTAAAATGTGATTGATGATAAGATTCACAGTATATTGTACCATTTACTTTATGCATACCAACTTTAATATGATATTACTTAATATTCAGCTGATATGTATATCAAAATGCTAACGAATACATCTTAACGAAACCTGTCTTTCTCAGTTTCTAGAAAGAATGATAATAGCAAAGTTAAAAGTAGCAAAGTTCTGCAACTTTGCATGCTAGAATAATATACAATTATTGACTAGTGTGCCATTGAATATGATGTGATATTCACCGGTAGATGACATATTGACTTTCTTTCGGTGAATATCACATCATATTTGATGGCACACTAGTCAAGTATTGTTTTATTATATGAATAGCTAGGCTATAAGAATTTTTAAAAAATCACAGAAAGTACAACCTTATGTATACATTTACAACTCCCACCTGTTTCGGTCAGGCGTGCAACAGTTACCACAAAGGTAATTCAAGTTTATACTCATCATTGCGGTGTAACCTTTAACTATAAAAGTGAAGTAATTATATTTGAATCGAGAAATATTCCATAAAGAACAAAATGCAACAATTATTTTTAATAAGCACGCGTAATTCAACAGGCTACGATATTTGGTCATTGAATATGAGTCTCAATCTATTTTTAGACTTGGAAAATCCAATTCAGCCAGTGAATATGATACTTCACCCAGTGAATATGATTCCCTAAAAAGTTCTGTTGACTACGGTTTGAACCAATGAAATTGCAGCTATATTTAGATCATATGATAATTTATTTTAAGATGTATTCAAATTTGGTTACTGAATGGGGGGCTTCAATATTAAATTGAATACCTTTAAAGATCCTTTATGTTTTGTGATTGATATTGTTACTGTGTGTATACCACACTTGCAAAAAGTTATATATGTATATAATTATGCAAATAAAACAATTTTCAAACAGTGAAGAAAATTTAAAATGTGTATTGCAAATATGTGTGCACATTATATTTAATCCATAAATTACATGCATTCATTTCTTATTGGAAAATTTGACTTAAAATTGATAGAAAATACATTTCTAATTACCTCCCTTTATTTATATGAAATGTTAAATTGGGAAATATCTTTATAAATAATGCTTATGGGAACTTACAATATTGACAAATCTTAATTTGAGCATCATATTTATGAAATAAAGCCATGAAAAATTGTGTTACAGGATCTAGCAGTTTTTTTATAAATGGACTTTTATTAATAAAACTGAACTTATTGTTGTAAAAATGAACTATCGATAGTGATATGGCAGCAAGGCAGGTGTGCTCTTATTGAATCAAGAACAAAAATGTCAAGGCCTTTATATTTAACGACAAATTTGAAGAAATTAGTGATCTAGCCTTGCTATTGTTTGATCATAACTTTACAAACGCTGTTTTGTAAATATGGCCACGTGTCTTCGCTGACTTGCAACTTTCTTTATCCTGATAGCGATATGAAAATCATGTAATATTCTGATAGGGATATTTAATTTTGACGTGACGTCATAAGCGTTATACAAACATAGTGTAAAGATGCCTTATAATGAAAAATGGCTCTTTTCTCACTTTAAATAGTCTTTCTTTTGGGTATTTGATAAAAAATATTAAATTCGTGTAAGTTCATTACTGAATTTATTGAACTCGTTGAAAAAAATAATATTATGCTCGCCAGAGGCTCGCATAATATAATTTTATTCGACTCGTGCAATAAATTCAGTGTTGAACTTAAACTCATTCAATATCCTCTATATCGTAGTAGATAACTTCTTTTAAATTAGCATTATACGATATATCAATACGAATATTGTTATATAGATATGTAGTTTCAAATGTTTTTGAATGAACTATTATGTTAAAGAAATCTCTATTAAAGATATCTTCATAATGTATCCTGCATTGGATTTTCAGTATGTTTGAAAGTAGGCCAGAGCTGATGGACGTATTTTCAAAGTTTAAAGGTCGAAACTTGCTGGAACTGAAACGTGCAGGTTTACTTCGACAACATGCACTGAGAGTTATGGCAACAATAGATAAAGTTATAACCCGCCTTGATGAGCCTACTGCTTTGATAACTTTGCTCAAGGAATCTGGGGCACATCACAAACTGTACAAAGTGCCACAAGATTATTTACAGGTATTTTTTTCTGATTGGGTTGAACGAAAATCCAAATTGAATATGCCTATTAAAAAGGGGAAACTTATACATAGAAGAATAATATAACGCATCCACTGTCTGATATTTTTAGTAGTTAAGTGCTAAAAATCTAGAAGTCATAAGTAGCCTCGGATCAATAAACATATTTTATTTAATGCGTTGGTTCCTAACTTCTTGCTTTATTTTAGCTTATGCAGTTACGCTCTCACACACTTATTATACTCTATTTTTATTTTTCTCCCGGATTTTAATTTGAAATTCTATAGTGAACAATTCATTGATTTAGATTAAACATGCAACGGAATGTTCATCACAATAATAACAAAACAGTTCAGTCACATTTGTCTTTTTTTTTGTTCCAGATAATATTACCTCATTTTCTGAATGCAATCAAACCCCATATTGAGGACCATTGGTGTGATGACTTAGAGAACGCTTGGAAAACAATGTTTGATATAATAATTTACTACATGAAAGAAGGTTACAAAGAACCGAAACATTGTCATAAAGAGTATATTGTGGAGGAAACGACATAACCTTGTGATGTTTATTAGAACTGGAAAAAATGTGACATTTTTGCAGTCGTGTTTTAAAATATTAGCAGCCTTATCTGATTTTATTTCTTTATTATCTGTAAATAAGTTTGTGCATTATGCCATTTGTTTGCTTTAAACCAGTTTAATGGCTTTGTTAAATATTATTTGATTGTATAAATATATTAAAACAAGCATTCATTACAACATCTTATCTTTTAACATATGTCTTCCACAGCTACATAATTGTCTACGTTATGTTATAATTATTAAATGTTCAAACATAGAGATGAGATTAGAAGAAGTAAATCAATGACTGATAGAAGGGCTTAAATTGATGTTTTTTCTATTCAGGAAGAAGATGGAAATATTTCCTTTGAAATTTGTATTCATGGGGTATGGATCGTTAACTTGAGTGCACAATATCGTTTCATTCCCTCACTCCATTTTCCCCCAGAATAATCATTTTATTGCACAAAATTGGCCGTATGTCAAATGTATTTTAAACTCAAATCGTGCTTATGTCGCACCAAAAATATTATATTATATTTTTGTTTAATTCTGCGTATACATGTATTTGTAAATTTAAAACGGCATTATGCACATCCAAGTGTAAATGTTGTACGGGATTTATTCAAAATACGTTTACAGTTTGTCTGATTTGTTTCTAGACTTAAATGAAAATTCAATTATCTGCGTGGTACACGCTTCGGTTATGCTTATTTGATAAAAAGAGTTGGGCAGTATTGTTTCATTTAAGACAATTTTCCAAAATTATATTTTTACATTCTACCTACTGATTTTCATTGAAACTTCATTGAAAACTTATCAACGGACAACTATTATCGATCTTCTTAACTAAGATGTTTATAAGATCAACAAAGAGAATGTAATTTGATACTTAATCATTTCCTTCTCATTAAATCCACTGAACAATATTATTGAAAAAAGCAGTAAAATAAGTTATTTCATTTCAGGCGTTTCTATTTCATTAAATATAGTTCTATCAATTTGTTAATTATAAAGATCGTAAATAACCGTTAATATGAACATTATGATTGACTTTGAATGACATTATAAAACAAAAACATTCTCAAAAGCAATGTTCAGTTAATTGTTAATTGAACATATTTTAGGTCTGAAAATAAACTAATACAAATTAATAAAATATGTATGGTTTTTGGTTATGTTGAGAAATGTTCATATAATTTTTATAGATCTTGATGTTGATATCAAACTAAATATATCACTAATCTTATTATGTGATCCGAGCAAGATTTAATATTGTATATAATTATATTCCCCATATTTGCAAGGATTATGATGGAGTCTAAGTATGAAATAAAAAGAAAATGCAACGAAAACCCAGAGACTAATATGTTTCATTGTTAAACAAGAAATAAAAGAAAATATGGGTTATTTCCATTTTAATTCTCATCATTAATACTTCAGTGATATAATAAAGGTGAAAGTTGAACTTAAAAATGATAAATGTCATAACAGTTTACATCGCTTCCTATGCCACGTCCAAAAATTAATGCATTTCGTAAAAATGATGCATAAAAGATATCGTGGTGATATATGTTTTTTTTTTTCAGCCCTTACCATATAAGAAATCAGAAGATAAAAGGACTGAAATATTATTTATTAAAAAGGAACAGTAAACAAAGAATGATGACGTGGAAATAGAAACAGCGTATTAATAACTTGATAATGATAACTCATGTTATGTGCATTATTGTAATTTTACTTTATTGTATTTTTTATCCTTTGGGATCAATGATTCACGCACGTTTAAGTGGTGTTGAAAACTGAGTACTGCTAAAGCCGGTCCTAGCGGGATGTTGGGGATATTGCCCCATTTTTTTTATCCCTCATGTGCAGATACAATTAAACCGAGTCTGCAATTTTTACGTAATTTTGCTGTGATTGATGCTTACTAGGGCTCAATCTTTCCCTAGATTTGTATACTGTAAATTTCACAACACACAATCTGGTTTCCTTTTTTCTGATATGTGTAAGCCAAAATACATTTAGTTATAAAACATTTTATTATTTTAAATTAAACATAATCTAGGAATGCATACATATAGATTTAAACGCTTATTTTCTTGAGCGTTTCTAAGAAAACGTGTCGACAGGTATGCAAAAATAAAGTTATAAATTACAACTAATATATCAATAGCTTGTTCTGGAACGTTCTTATCATTAGAAATTACGATAACAACTCAGCTCCTCCCGTTTCTCTCTTACATCAAGAGATATTTACAAGGTTTAATGAATTTTTTCAAAATAAAGTTTTTCTGTCAATAAAAAAAAACATTTTCAATTTTTAGCTACATAAAACTCGTATATTTCCATGAAAACTTAACTGTTTTATTTTTCTTGTTGTTATTCATTTATTCATTCATTCATTCATTCATTCATTCATTCATTCATTCATTCATTCATTCATTCATTCATTCATTTATTTATTTATTTATTTATTTATTTATTTATTTCTCAGAATAAAATATTGTCAATGACCAGCATGATTATACTAATAAATCCTTTTAGAAATCCTAAGAAGTACTTTAATTTATAGAGCAAAATCTGTGTTAGACTTTAGCAGGTGCCTACAACTCTTCAAATGTTACCATCAAATCTTATCAACTCAATAATTAGGTTATAATTGTCTCCAAGTAATAACGTGCTAACCAGATGACATTTATGGTCATATGCTCATATTTCTCACTTTTATTTCACTGCTGTACAGAAAATCGATATACAACTTGCTGCCATGTTTTTCCACGTCTAATCACCTGAAAAAAATATTGCAGACATTAAATGTACCATTGATTAAACTGTAACATAAATTGCTTGTTTCTTTTTCTTGATTTTTGTTTATAAATGTGTATATAACTTGAGTAGAGTTTACTATTACCATAGAGTCAGAATATAATGATAAATGATTGACAATTTTCAGCACATGTTAACTGACTTAGTTTGCCGATGCATTATTATATGACGCAACAATATTTGTAAAAGGTACTGTAAAATACAATACTATAATTCTTTATAACGGCAATACTTTATTTTTCACTCACGAAACAAACATTTAATATCGTGATGTTCTTGTGTTTATGAATGATATGATTCAAAGTGTTTTTTCCCCAAATTTTGTTTCAATGGCATTAATAATCTATTGGTAGAATAAATATTATACGCGTTACATTTATGATTGACAACTATACTGATCACAATACTATAATACTTAAGGTGAGTCTGTTTTGTCAGCCATGTTTGTTTTCACTATGTGGGTCCAAAGTGAAAGTAGGCCAAAATTCATGTAACAACAAAGCTAATATTGTAAAATGATAAACCATTTGAAATTACACTTCCAGGTCTATGTTTTAAGGACTATTACAAACAAAAATAAAAATGATAACAATAAGAATATTTACCTTGAGTGTGCTAAATTTCTTAAGACCAAGTACAATCTGTAGCAAAGTTTTACGCAAATTTCATGAATGGGACAATCCAATTTAAAGTCAGTTTTAGTACAGACAAAGGCTATTTTTTGCTGTGATTTTTATCATTTTATAGCTTTGATATTTTCAAATTGTTGTATACAACTATTATGTAAATGAACGACATGCTATAAGACGAAATTCATTCAAACGAGACGTCTCAAGGGCAATGACAACATGATTGATGATGATTGCAGATTCTGTTTACTTTAGTCAGTTGTACTGAACTGTTTAATGTTACCCAGTGCACGTAAAATAAAACTAATTTAATCAGTATATAGTCAACGCAACAATATACATGATATACATTTGCATGTCGAATTAATATTCACTGAAGCAATAGTGCAACGGTACAAAAGGTACATGAATATAAGGATCTTACACCGGCTGCCGGTACAGACCGGAATAACTAGCTCGAGGGTAACTGTTTATGGTGGTATCGAGGCTCTGCTAAACAGTTACCCGAGAGCTTGATATTACTGTCTGTGACGGCAGTCGGAGTTTGAATCTTTCTCTCTTTTTTGCATATTACAAATTAATGATATTTTGGAACGAAATTTCAAAAGCTAGTATTTGGTGGTGGTGGTGTTAGTAGTTTTCACTCCGGATCACGACAGTAAGCCACATTGAATTCACCAAAGCACAGTTCAACCACCGCATCCTTCCTGGGCAGGCTGGCAAGTAGTTTACTAGGACTAGTACCTTCACTTTCACAAGGAACTGAAACTTCTGTACATGCCAAAGAAGAGGTACAGTGCAAATGACCGTTGAAAGTATTTCATGATCAATCACAAAGAAAATGACCTGCGCCGTCCGGGAATCGAACCAGAATCGCCCCAATTCACAGTACAACGCTCTTCCTAGTGAGCTAACCGGACGGTTTATAAAGCTAGTATTTTCATTAGCACTTGTCTTTTATAGTAGGTAGCGTATGATTTTTGAACTTTATTCATAACGGCAAAATGACTTCATTCTTAGAACAAAAGGCGCGCGGGAATGACGTCATTTAAAACACGCGACTTGTCTAACATAGTGGTGTAAACATTATATAATCGTGCCTAAATATGTTTAACTTTTTGTGCTACAGATAGCAACATTAAAAATGCAACCAGAGAGGGCGTTCTTTTTTTTCAACTTCAAGTATGCTAAAAAGCATACAGGATTTCTTTTTCTTATTAAATCACCAAAATGGCATAGACAGACTACAATTGGTACATGATAACACTTCCCAAACTCATGACATATTTTTGAACAACATAAAGTAGTTTTAATTAAATACACCAACTTCTTTTAAATAACGAGCGTGTTTGCGATGACAAATACTAAGCGGACCTTTTCCCCTTTTACAAAGATGGAGACAGTCGACTTTTTTTTACCTTTTTCCCAAAGACAACATTTAACGTAATAGTTACTGAACTCTTATCATGAAAACAATTTTTTAATGCGGAACTTCTTTTTGTGTATTGTTTACACTATCGTAATTGAACTATCGAAATAGCATCTGTTTTGCCATACCAAATAATACATTTGGATTTCTGTTTTCTAACAGAAGCAAATTAAAGTCAAATTGCGAGACATAAACATTAATTAAAGTTTGATTGAACAATGTCTGCACGCATCCAGCGGTATGCAAATATTTGTATTACAAACACGATTAGATTTGCTTGTAGAATAAATTTATGTTTTTATTAAAAATTCTTTTCCATAGCAGACAGACATTTGATTACATAGTATTTATTCATTCAATTCAAAACATTGACTGATATTGATAAACGACGTTCACATTCACCCGCACGCATACACTCACACATTACAGCAATAGCATGTAACATTATCAGACGCAGTCCCAAAAGTATGTGAAAAGGTTAAAAATAAACAAACTTGAATTAACCATTAATCATGTATGATTTGAAGAACAAAGCAAGAAATAAATCAATTGTCTTTCATTCAACAATTTCGGATTTTCATAAAATGTCAATATCTTACATTGTCTGAAAGTTATGTCAATTCAAAAATAAGGATATCAACCTGATGAATAAGAATTTTGGTTCATACGTTTCTCACTTATGAACATATAATTGCTGCTTTAATAACTGACTTTTTTATCTTTCGTTGTATCATCTCTTGTTTTGTAACACTACATGATTTTTAATTAATAAATAAAATTATATTAAAAGTGTAATACTTGTTACAGATGTAGATGTTAATGCATTAAATTGTTACAGGAAAATTTTATTCAAATAACAATTTGTTTCACGGAATCTATTTATTTGATGCATCCACTGTTTCTGTTGAAAACAATTCTTTGCATCATTCAAAATTTGCGTGTTTTATTTCTTCCATCAGGAATTGGTAGCGGTATGTGCATTCCCTTTCTCTTATCTGAAGTGGGAATTATCACAACATACGTTCCTCGAAAATCAAAGCAAAATATGTTTAAATGAATAATTTTATATTAAGCAATGTAATATGAACGTCATTTTCGAACCTAAAATGCTAGCAATCATAGACACTTCTCGGCTTTGGTCGTGTATGTTGTCAGAAGGTTTCATGTTCAAAGGTCGTCCGAAGAGATAATTTAACTTTATATAGAGACTTACATGACAGATATGACGCAAATATTGAACTTCTAAACTTACTTATTTTACAAGCATCTGTTTGATCTAGCTCGAACAGCTATTTCGTTTTCCTTCAATTTATAACTTATTAGGCCTTATGTATAATTCAATTGAAACATTTAATCGTTTAACTACTTTGGCGTTCCTTGTAAGCCATACTTTAAATACTAGTATTGTTACAAAATATGGTCAAGAACGTAGGATTAACTCATTCTCTCTTTGATTCAA